CATAGACTACAAAGAGTCTATTCATTTAAAAATATTCGAAAAGTGGACACTATGCAAGTTCCCTATTCTCTTATTTGTAAAGCGGGCTTCATGAAAATTCGACCCAAGACGATTATACTCATGAAAACCGCCCTACTTTCTCCACTCGCTCGAGATATTGCCTCTTTTTTAGAAAGGGTTACTCTACCACGGAATCTCGATGAGAAATCAAATTTTTACATACGGACAAATTATTTCATCAACTTTTTTGTCAATTTTTTCTCCATTGTGGACGGAAGATTTGCTCATCAACCATCTACACACTTGTTTAGACTTTATGTTGTGTTACGTATGCTCTGTTATACATTCTTATTATGCAGAGCCTAGAAGTCTCGTGGGGATACGTGTGTCCCTCAGGGTCGTTAATTTCGTAAGAGTCTGACCGTTGAAAAAAAATACGAGAAAAAATACTTACACCTACTGTGGCCTTGAGACACTCTACTCCACTCGTGAAATTCGTTCTAAATTACCCTAGAGGTAGTAAACAGAAAAATTAAAATGAAGAGATAAATCGGTTGGGGAATAGGCGAGAAAAAAACAAGCGAATTAAGCTATGGAGTCATAAAATAACATTATTTCGAGGCTATAGAATTAGGTCTCTGAACATTATTATTTTAAAAACACTCAATTAACAATGAAGATGGCAATTTAATATTGTGTTGAACGATTTCCATTCCACGCTCTGATATCATATTTATTTACGGATATCCAAGTACTTTGACTATTTTTCCTCCAGTGAAATTCTTTTCTACTTTTGCAGCTTAAACTTGAGTCTCCCTTGACCCTAAGTTTTGTTCACCCCATCATGCTTATTCTGACCCTTGTGACCCTTGAAATAACCCTCGTGGCCCTCATTATACCCCTGACCGTCATTATACCCCTTGTGACCCTTAATCTCACCCATATGACCCTTAATCTGATTCTTGCTCTTTCTCTGGCTCTCGTGACCCTTATTCTGACCCTTATGACCCTTAATCTGACACCTGCGACACTTAGTCTGACCCTCTCGACTTTTATTCTGACCCTCGTGACCTGTATTCTAACCCCCACTACCCTAATTCTCAACCTGGTGACCCTTATTATGTCCCTCATGACCATTATTTTAACCCTCGTGACCCTTATTTTGACCTTTGTGACCCTTAATTGTGGAGTTTTAATTTCGAGTCATTCCGACTCTCATTATACCCCTTGTGACCCTTAATCTGACCCATATGACCCTTAACCAAATCCTTGTGACCCTTGCTCTGGCTCTCGTGACCCTTATTCTGACCCACGACGGTCATAGGGGCGGGGGAGGAGAATCGCGACAGCCGTCATAAATGTCTCGTCATGAGACCGTCGGTGATGGTCACACGACTGTCATATGACACATTCCCACCTCTAATCTAAATAGACTTCAAAATATGTATTGATGAAAAAGGAGATATGTACCACCATATTCTAGGCTAAGGCACGTGTAGCACGCCTCATACGCTATTAACCGATAAAAAAAACCACTCCAGAAAGAACGACCTTTTGAAAAATGACTTTTAGAACTATAGCTTTAAAAAAAACGAATGAAAAACTGACCGACTGTGAAGTTTTCAACAGAATGTGGGTAAGTAAAAAGTTGTTATGGGTGGGAGGTGGGTGGCGTCGATGAAGGGGATTGTGTTAAGACCTTTTTTTTCCGCTCCCCGGGGATTCACGTTATCGACTCGTGTGGCTAGTGTCAGAGTTTCACATTTTCATCTAAATTGGCCACTATACGCCTTCTACATGTGTAAGTAGAAGTGTATCCTTCGGTGGGTACCCCCACTCCCCATAATTCCTACTTCTGTCCGTGTCCCCCATTCCGAAAACCCACGGACACTCTGTCGCAAGGATATCTATACGTGAAAACTGAGACGATTATGTTTTCTTGGGTTTAACGGGTAAACTTTAACCTAATTGTCAAAGATGGTACGGCCCTCGTGGTTGACCCTCCTCCCCACCATTATCCATTACGATTCCTAACCTCGACGTTGTCGCTATAGTGGAACCTCTATAACTGCACGCCTCCCGGGGTTTGGGTTCTCGTAATTTGCACTTATGAAAGGACCCTTCTTCGCCAGCGAAAGAGCGAGAGCGCTGAGTTAGAAAGAGATGCGTGTAGGGGCAATGGTGGGGGAAGAAGCCACAAGGCGGCCTATTGCGCACAGTTTTCGCGCATTGAAGAAAGAAGGAAAGAGATTAGAGAGAGAACGGTCACAAAGGGGAATTGTAGTGGTGGGGGAACGATTCCCCGCGTGCGATGGGACAGTGTGCACTTACGAAGGTGAGCAGTTATGGAAGTTCCACTGCACCCGTCACAATTTTCCAAAACATATGAGTCCTTTCATCTGTATAGATGCAATTTCATTTTTCCTTTATCAATTTTTATGTGAATTGCATTTGTATTCAGTTTGTATACGCATCTTGATCCGAAAATCACGCTCATTTTTCATCTCTCCAGATGAAACTATTTTTTTTTCATTTATAAACAATTCATTAAGAAATTATGTTGGATTTCGGGGTTTTCCCCGAGAACAAAATTCACTCTCCCGTTCTTTTATGTTAAGGAAAGGTTTACTGCTTTATATTGCTATGGGGACTTCCCTGAGAGTGTAAAATGGAGAAAAGTCCTCTCGGGACTTTTACTGACGGGTTTTTTCCAAATGTGGTGCCACAAGTACATCTGGCGACGAGGCGGGGTCAAGAGGGAAAGACCGAGCGTTTGCTTCAGGGGGTGGAAATTATATTGCCCTCCTGGGTCTATATTAGCCCTGGGCCTCACTAGTAACCTTCTTTAGTCTCTCGTAGATATTCATAGTGTCAACTACCTCCTGACTGTGTAGAGTCTTAGAGATTTTTCAATTAAAGTGTTCACATAGATAAAAAGTGTTTATGTTAAACCCCATAATCCAATAAATTATTTGTGACAATCATTTGTAGTTAGAAAATTTGTGCGTCAAAATTGTCCCAACCCTGGTCAATGTTGACCCAATCGTAGCAGTCAGCGTTGGCCTAATGTTGGTAGCCACTGTTGGCCCAACCTTGGTATATTCATGTAGAAATATCTATCCAAAGCAAAACGCTAATTTATCAGCAAAAATTACTGCGCCGAGCTATAAAAAAGACAATAAAATTGTCCACTTGTTTTCCATTTCATTATTTTTTCCATAATCACTTTTTTATACATTCGTTTCTGATAATAAAATTCCCGAAGATCCCACGAAAATACTCCCCCTCCCTCCCCCCGTACATAAAAATATTTGCAAAACGTGTGGGCAGGAAAAAACATCGAGCCTAAAAAAAAAGTAGGTGGGGCGCATTAACCGCGCGTGTCGAACTGAACTCCACGGGTAGAAAAAGAGTCGAGGTGAAAGCGAAATACGCATGACGCTGGTGTGAGTGCGCGTGTCGTTACACACGCACGCCCCCCCACCCCCTTCCACTATCAATGACGTAGTCCATATCTGTGTAAATTCCTTGTTTGCGGACGGAATGAAACGAGAGGGAGTCAAGCTGAACGAAATTCCGTCTGTGTGAGGTTCTCTTGCGTCGGTGAATTGCACGTGTCAAAGGCAGTAGGAGAGACGATTCCCGCAGGTCACGGCGTCCTCTGCACTCTTTTCTACTCTCACGTACTCGGTCGACCGCCTCGGGGGGGGGGGCGGAGCCNGGGGGGGGGGGGCTCCGCCCCCCCCCTCAACTGGGGGGCCCCCTCGCCTATCCGTTGACGAGATATTGCGGGTTTTATTTGGCTCGCAGATCTAGGGTAGTCATTAGAGACGATTTTTTTTTCAATTTTCGGAGATTACGGAGTTAAATGGCTGAGGCAAGGCTGAGGTTGAGATGTTATCTAATTATTTGATGATTCGGGGCTGTATCAGCTAATTGGGTGACGTCACGATGATGTTCGTTAAATGCAAATGATTTTTTGTTTCAATTTGAGAAATTTTTCTGCCTCCCCATTTTTTCCATCGGAGATGGTCATTGTGAAACGGAAAAAAATCATGAAATCATGACTTGCAATTGCAATTCTTCCCCGCCCCTCCGCGATTTTTCCACCCGCATCGCAAAAATTTTCCAATCCATTGCAAAAAAAATAGTTGATAAAATTTTCCCGGCGCACTATCATTAAGTACTTCGGACTCCGAACGAGAAATTTTCGCAGGCACCCGCATTCTTCTCTGCGGAGGTCCACACGCAACCCCCCCCCCCCCCC